AAGCATTACGAGCTCGCGACATTTTCAGAGAAATGAAGATGAATCTAAGAGAATTCGCGTCAAATGCCATGGACTTGAAAGCAAACTTACCGGAGGAAGCGTGCACAAAAGCTACTGAAGTGAAGCTTTTGGGGATAAAATGGGAGTGCGGGCCCGACCTTTTATCCATTCACTGTGAAATACCACTCACAAAGACAGTCACTAAAAGAATTATTGCCCGGCAGATTGCGTCAATATACGACCCCCTTGGGTGGTTGACTCCACTTCTAACAAGACCCAAGAGATTTCAACAAGAGTTGTGGAAGAAAAAATTCGATTGGGACACTACTCTACCAAACCCTCTCGTGCAAGAATGGGACACCTTAAGGAAATATGCAGATGGGTTTCGAAAATGTTTCCCAAGAAGAGTACCACAAAAAGCCAGTTTGGCCATATTTTCAGACGCAAGTGAGATTGCTATGGCTACTTGCGCATACCTTTTTAACGAGAATACCGCCACTCTGATTGCCGCAAAATGCAAGTTCCCATCAATACAGGGAAAAACTACGATACCCAAAATGGAGATGAATGCGCTCACAATGGCAGTTAGACTGGCATTATCAATTTTCAATGCAATTGGGAAATATCATGACACATGTTCGAAGATATATATTTTTTCGGACTCAAAAATTGCCCTGCACTGGATATCCACAACCCAGGAAAGAAACGGAGCAGAAATTCTCGTAAACAACAGGGTCGCAGAAGTACATAAAATCTTAGAAGTTTTTCACGAGGAGGGAGCTATAGTGAGCTTTAAGTACGTCCCCACAAGCGAGAACCCAGCAGACGCAGGAACGCGCGGACTGACAAAAGATCAGATGCAAACCCACATATGGTGGCAAGGACCTGGATTTCTGAAAAAGCACACCTCTGAATGGCCAACCATAGATTTTTCTGTGATCATCACAAACACAGAAGAAACTACGGTAATGAATTTTCAAGAGTCAAAGGATACTGAACAATTGCTAGAATTACATAGATACAGCACCTTTACTACCGCAAAAAGAATAACATCGTGGGTAATTCTATTCCTCATGAAAGTCATGCAAGGCTTACGCCAAGAAAGACGAGAAAAAATCGAAAAAGCCATTCCAGCATTAGGTAGATTAGGAAAATCACCTTTACCTAATCAGGTGAATGCCATGTTAATGAAATCAGCCGAAAAGCTACTCATAAAAAACCATCAGCAGGTCCACCTCACAAACGAGTATATAAACTCAATGCAAAATACATTACGTTTGTTCCAAGATGATGAAAAAATATGGAGATCGCAGGGAAGAGTTGCGAACTCTGCTCTGAGCCAGAACGCAAAAAACCCGATATTCATCGCTCCAAAAACAAAATTAGCGAGACTGCTCATCAAACAGGCCCATGGGAGGTACCATACAGGGATTGAACACACGATTGCAACCATTCGAAAGCACTATTGGATCCCAAAAGTTCGCCAACAGGCAAGACAACTTGTAAGCAACTGCTTTCAATGCAAGAGATTCAATGGCTTACCATATCCATATCCAGATTCCAATAGTCTACCAAAATGCCGAACTCAAAGAAGTCGAACATTTCAACATATTGGCCTAGATTTCTTTGATCTCCCAAGCATCCAAGAGCGAAACGAGCAGACAAAGGCTTACGGATGCATTTTTACCTGTGCAACGACACGCTTAATCCACCTTGAAGTGGTGAAAAGCATGGGAACAACGGACTTTTTGAACGCCTTTCGACGATTCGTAGCTCGAAGAGGAGTTCCAGACACTATAATATGCGACAACGCACCTACTTTCCTCCTAAGCGAAGCCATTCTTGAAAATGAACAACAACCAACTATGAATCAGGAAATACTTTGAACAATGGCAGATCATAGTATTGAATGGCATCACATCACCCCCTATGCGCCATGGCAAGGAGGGTTCTACGAAAGGCTGATAAAGTCGATAAAACACGCGCTGTACAAAGCTATACACCCATCAAATATCTCATCATTTGACAATCTAGTGACAGTGATAGCGGAAATAGAGGCATGCCTAGATACACGTCCCCTTACCTACCAGGGGTCGGACCGTGGGTCTCTCAATATTATACGTCCCATTGACTTTGTACAACGCGATGTAGTATTAACATTTACCTATTCGCAGGACGAATCTTCAGACGATTCCACGTTCCATACTCCACAAGAAATGCAAACTCTAGAAACGCGGATCCAAGCTGAGAAAGCTTTACATGCCTCGTGCGCAATCACGGAAAGATTTTGGAAAAGTTGGGAGGAACAATACATTATAAACCTACGAGAAAAACACAAGCAAAACATTTCTACTAAACGACACTGCAATAACTTGCCCAAACTAAACGATGTAGTTTTGATTAGTGATCCAGTCCTCCCAAGAAATGACTGGAAAATTGCAAGAATCATCGCTTTGCGTAGAAACCTCAAAGGAGAGATACGCGAAGCAGAACTAATCACTCACAAGAAAAGGAAATTACGTAGGCCAGTCAACCTCCTGATACCACTTGAATTAGAAGACGATCAGACAGAGGTAGAGCAAGGAGGTGCAGAAGAACACCCATCTACGGAAGAGGAGAACCAGAGATACCATAACTATGACTTGCGCCCTCGCAAAGCGATAAGCTACGTAGAAAGTACAATAACAGCAGGGACACAGAAAACCATGACAAAAATCAAACCACAATGGTTTCTGTTCCATTTGATGTTGGTTTCCTGCATCACAGGCATATTCGCTTCTGGTCCAGGAAACATAAATTTAACATGTGCCAAAAATGGAGTGTTCATTGAGACATCAAAAAGCGATACTATAGAAATTTGCGCTGACAACCAATGTAAACTCCAAAAACTACAACCAGGAAAAATTTTGACGCAATTCCCACCAAGTATCACTTTGCATGACCACCTGATTACACTCAAATGGAATGAGAATGATCATACAGTAACAACGGAAATACTATGCGAGAAGCTAAGTTTCTGTGATAACATCGACTGCTGGCTCTGCGCAACACTAATATTGAACCCTGAATGCTGGCCAGTAGGAGCCATCATTTCCTTAGCTCTCTTGCTATATGGAGTGATTGCAGCTTTATATCTGGCACTGTACGTACCAGTGACCATTGGCAAACCCATAAGATTGTTATTGTGGTTCTTCTTGGTGATATTCAAAATTTTGTTGCAAAAGGCATGGCACTGTGTTCGCGCACTTTTGAAACATTGCCGCAGAAATCACCGTCGATCAAGATCAGCGCGCCTCACAGAAGCTCTGGCGATATTGGCATTACTATCCTTACTAAGCACGACCTTAGCATGCCAGCAATTAAACGTATTGGAACACCACTTGACCATTTGTGAAAAATCCGACAAACAAGAATCATGTCATATCGAAATCAAAGAAGTTCTGAAACTAAGCACTTTCAAACAAGAAGCGTGCCTTCGTCTAACAAAAAACGGCTCCCATATTGAAAACATCAAAATACGTTGGAAAGGACTTAGGCTATACTGCGATAAAGAAACGCTGTTTTTCACTAGAGCAACTAACTTGCAAGTGATAGACAGCAAACGCTGCCCTCATATGGGATCATGCGTAGGGGAAAAATGTGCCGCGATCGATGCAAACAGTATCCTCCCGGAGCTAGAACAAGGAAATCAGTTCCCTGGACGAACAGGTTGCTTGGAATCCTGTGGAGGACTCGGTTGTGATTGTTTCTACCCGAGTTCCGGTTGTTTATTCTACAGGATATACGCAACACCCAAGAACCCAGCCATCTATGAAATGTTTACGTGCGAGCGATGGAAACAAAACGTCAAGCTAGACATCTACATAGAGAGTTTGCGCTTAGGAAAACAACACTTTATTATTTCAAGCATGCCAAACATTCCGGTAGACCTTCCAAGTATGAGCATAACGTTGACCTCTATTTCAATTCCGCCAACCCCTTTATTGCACAATCGCTTTATCACCAATGGCATTGATACAGCCCTATGGAAAGCTGAATTCACACCAGATCTTATGTGCAATTCTAGTAGTGCCGCAAAATCACTGCAATGCGCTTTGACAGATGACTGCATATGCACACCAGCAGAGAACAAAATTAATTGCCAATGTCCTCAAAAAGACATTGATCACGAATTCCATCAGATTCAACATAAGCTACCTTTGAAAACAGCCTCATGGCAAATACACAGCTCGAAAGGTGTCATCGTAGCAAAAATACCTCAAATGGTATCCGCTGAGGTAATCCTCAGCATAAAGGAAAAAATTGATATCACCATACTAGAAGTTCAAACAACGTTTGCATGGTACAAAATGCCGTTCTAACTGGATGCTACAATTGCGCCCTAGGAGCAGTCGCAAAAATCGCATGCAAATCAACAACATACACCATAGGAGAAATCATTTGCGAAAATACTGCGTTTGTGGTACCATGCGCTCCAGATACACCGACGTCCAACTTAATGTTTCATTTGAGCACAGCACGTCAGCTAATGAACTGCTCAATTACTTGCGGCAACTCAAAAAATTACTTTGTTATATCAGGCATTCTCAAGTATGTAGGTGACATTCATGCGTATTTCCTATCACCTTTGAAGAGCAATAGCACCGTATACGCTGAATTTGAATGGCCTGATCTTTCACATCTTTTAAACGTCTATCTCAACTGGTACAAGACTGTAATCATTGCGCTTATATTCGTGGCAATAGCGCTTTTCATATCGTACGCTCTTCTTCAAACAATGGGACTGTGCGCTCTTAAAATATTTTTTCGCGTACTCACCAAAGTACTGTGCTTTCCATTGCGCGCGGCAGCCATCATGGCAAGGATTTTACTCCAGCGCAGAAAAACAAATGCGCACACAGCCCGGTCACCACACATCAAAGAGATTTGAAAAAATCAAGATAACGAAAGAATCAAACGTAGGAACATGTACATATTCATTAGTCAGAATTATTTTAGACATGGACAGGGATGAAGAAAACGAATACGTGCGACAAGAATTGCAACATCTTCAGCAAGCCATTGACCAACTACCAAAACCCGGAAAGGTTTACGATGACATAGTCGAGGCTGCAAAACAATTAAGTGCAACAAGAGAGTCGCTTCAATCGATCTTGCCTAAGATGACGTCAGTGAGAACTGTTCATGAGCAGGCACAAGTGCAAATAATGAAATGTCAACTTCTGATAGCGGAACTAGAAAAGACAAGACTTCAGTTCCTTCTAATCCAAACTCAACTGAAGTCACTATACGATACAGCTAATTTGCTAATCAACACCAACGTTGTATCCAGATTAGAATGGAACGCGATGCTTCAAACCGCTGCAGATGGTCCAAACGAAATACTATTAAATCGTGAAGCACTCGAAGAAGTTATCGAAGAACAACTAAAACTTCTAGAAGACTATAAAAATACCCTCAACAACAAACGACGGGAAATACAAGAAGAAAAGAAACTTGAAAGATACGATTTGGAAGATGAAATGAGACATGCACTTTGCGCGTTGAGAAACGCGTGCGAAAATGTGCTACAAACGCCAAAAACACACGATGATGAGGAAATGAAAAAGTACGACGCGCAGAAGACGGACAAGAGACCTCCCATCGACACAATAGAAACACAGTCCCTAAGCACGGAAACGAACACGTATCAAGAGAAAAGCAAGGAAGAGAAAACTGAAACGACTGCGGAGGGAGCTTCGCAACCAGCGAAAGGTCAAAGTGTGCGTCATCTACCCGATAGCGACGAAAGTCAACGTCAATCTAAAGACATGGAACAAGAAAATGTAGTAAGCAAACCTTCAGAAGAAGGGGAGGAAGAAAGGGCTCTTCAACCCTCACAAGAAGGGGAAGAAGTCTCAAAAGAAGGCCTGAACGAAGACGCAGACGTACCTGCAAGAGCGGATGATACCGATGAAGACAGGGATCACCCGGAAAGTCGAGGTGATGAAGAAAGCCAGCCACTACTGGGCTTAATCGACGACGAGAGAAACCAGCATGAGGGAGACTTCCAGGAACTGCCCAGACTCGTCGATGACGACGAGATGCTGGAGCTGATCGACGAACTTTATGACGAGGAATCTCCAGCACCTCGGGCGTCACCTGAAGAGGCAGAAGATGTCGAACGAGGCGAGAGGGCCGAAGAGGCGAACAATGAAGCAAAGAGTCAAGACGATCATGAGCAACGTAACATCGAGGAAGGGAGATCACCACTCGAGATTCAACGGGAAAAACGTGAAATTCAGCTGGCAATCAATGAATTGAATGCGCTCATAAGGCAATTGGAGGAACGACCGACATGTCCTCCCCGCCGACTCCAGAACCGGGCCATCTATCGGGAAGCGGATCGCTTTATCCGCTGCGTGTATTGCGACGCGACCGGGATGCACTACTCGGACTCGTGCCCCGTAGTTCGCAATTCAGCGGACAGAAGGCATATCCTCGATGCTCAGCGAAAATGCCATATATGCCTCAATGTCTTGACTATCGTCTGCCCCGGGGGGCGAAGCTGCAGAAAATGGCACACGCCATGTCATCATTGCCGGCGATATGGCCATCACACATCGGTCTGCAGCCTGCCGGATTCAAGCACATCTACACTAGAAAGATTGGATAGAGCCCGCAATTCGGTGAATCGGAAGGTAGCAAGACTGCAACTTCTGGAAGACGAACTTCGCTCATGCTACTCATACTTGCACTCCACTTACTAACAAGGTGGGGCGGCAGTATCGCGGCTTCACAGCGCGAGCTGCAAGATTTTACAGTTTCCCAAGTACTTTTATCTTCCCAATGAATCTGTTACAGAAATGCACGACTTCAAGGGGCAACGACAACATCGAAAAGATGCCGCAAAGCTCAAGCAACATTCGCCATTTGATCCCGACCTTCCATGGTGGGAGGAATGCTACACGTTTTCCAATTTGTTCTATTTTCTGTTGTCTTTACTCAAGCGCCCCTTTTGAGGAAGCTATTTTGAACGCCGATTTTAGCCAAGCTTTTATTACTTATCAGCGCGCCTCTAAAGTTTGCCAAAAAGGCAGAAAGAAAAACTTGGTCAAGCGTTATGATGTGTTTACCGTTTTTATTGCTACGATTGTGTTTATTTTTCAAAACCCAGACGAGGGTTTAATTACCCAAGTTTGAGGTGGTGCTGGGATCATAAACGCTGTGTGTGACTGGTGTTGTTCAACAACGTGATACCACTGAACCGCTAAAACCTATTCACTTAGCCTCTCGACCAGACCGCTCGAAGATTTCAGTTTTTGAATGCGCACAAGATCTCTGGGTCTGAAAAGCGATCCAAATCCGGATCGATGGCTCACCGGATGCCGGACTGAGGCGCTTTACGTTCAACGGAGGCCCGCCCCCAGCCGAGCTGGGCTGGAGGGAGTTTACTACAGGCCTGTATATAAAAAGTCAAGCTGCGGAAGAAAAGAAACTTTTCCAGAGCTAGCTTAAATTTCAATCTTATATATAAAGCTGAATGTCTGTTTGTCTGTCTGTCTGTATGTCTGTCTGTATGTCTGTCTGTATGTATGTACATAGGCTACTTTTCGTTATCGATCGATATCGATTTTATTGATTTTTTGCAAAATTCGAGCTAGAGGGCTGGGATTTGGCAGAGGGGGGTAATCGAGCATGCTGATCACCCCTTCGGGGTGATCAGCATGCTCGATTACCCCCCTGTGCAAAATCCTAGCCCCCTAGCTCAAATTTTGCAAAAAATCGGTAAAATCGACATCGATCGATAACGAAAAGTGGGCTGTGACACGCTCCCTGCCCCGAAGTGTATGTGTGCAAAGTTCGGTCCCAATCGGTTCAGAGATAAAAATTTCTATTCGGAACATACGTACACGGGTCTAGCTGGCAGGCCTGGCGGAGCCGGGCAAGCCAGCTAGTAGTTAATAATTTCGGTAACAATTTCAACAGTTTATCTCAATGATTGCAACTAAAAACAAGTTCTTTGCACAATTTTATGATTCGCATAGGCTATTTTCGAAAGCTGTGACCTCCTCCCCTAATTTCGTTTCCAGAAAGTTTTCTTTCTGAATGAGATAAATGAAAGATAAATTAGTAGCCACAGTCACATGCTGCTTTTGATGCATACGTTTTTATGAACCTGGTTCTTCTCTTTTGAATTTCAGGTGAAGCACCTATTTTCAGCAGTATACAGTAAGGGGGTGGGATAAAGACTCACATGCTCGCATATTTTCCGCAATTGTGTTTGTGCAAGCCTGCAAGGTCTTGACATAATTTTAGTCATAACACTTGCTTACTATGCATTCTAGCACCAGGATTGAACTTCGACGTTTGCTTAACGTGGAGTATGGCTCGAAATTCTATAGTAATTGCCCGTTATGGGAAGGTCCTTTGCTCCGTACGCTTTGGGAGTCGACTTGTATAAAAGCGCTGAGGAAGGGCATCGTCATCGAGGAGATCTGCTGCAACGGCAATGATTCTTATCGTACTTGCTTTGATCAGCTCTTTGCTGGTAAGTTGTCTTTGATTCAAAATAGATCAAAATTCCCTTCAAAGTAGGCTGGACGGTTGCGAATTTTTTCCACAAAAAAGTGCAATGAACTTGTTTTAACAAAAGCCATAGGAGCATCAAGAATTTTAAAATTTAAAACGGAAAAAATTAAAAATCTTGAGTAAGATTCTTGCCAAAGTTTTTTCATAGAAAGTATGATGAACACTCTAGCAGAAAATATAGCAGTATCAGGAAATGAATACTTAAAGGAATAAAAAAACCAGAAAGATAAAGGGTAGTCTTGACTTTCTATGTGGAATTTTTTAGGCTTGCCCTCCCACACCTGCTCCATCCACTCCTCCTTCTACGACGACTGCTTCTTCGACCTCCTCTTCCGCGCCTTCTTCTGACGCAACTACTTCTTCGACTACTGCATCAACTGCAAGCAGTAGTACAGGCGGAGCGAAAAAGCGAGAAGTTACAAAAGTGGAAGTGACAGTGATCACCAACCAAAAATACGATCCACTGTTGAACGATTCACATCTGCAGGTGTTCAGAATGCTGGTGGGTCCCCTACGTGAAGTTTTTTGGTTGGAGACATAGGTTTAATCTTAGGGTGTAATCAACCGGAACGATAATTAAGGCAATATTTATCTTTACAAAACCGAAAAATTCTCGAGCCATTTTCGAGTCTCGGCATACCCTCATGAAGATTTGCTGCCTCCAAAATTTTTGGGAGGCACTAGGAATGAGCGAGATACCCGCTGTATGGTTACCCTATGCTTACCCCACCACATCGTAAGCAGCGTCAGCATCAAATTTCTTCCCCGTTTCCCCCTCCTCTCGTCCTTCCACCCTGAAATCTTTGGGAATTCCCTATTTCTACCTACTATGAACTGTCAAACTTTCGCTACGTTGGCAAACTCTCGCGGTGTGTTTAACTATAGAAGATTGCTATATTTATTAATTCGACAGTATGACTATTAAGTTCACCTCTATGGTATCTTATCTTTTGTATCCACACTTTCCGCAGCACAGGAGATCTAAACTTCTCAGGCATAAACTGGGGTGTAGAGGTTACAAGGTCCATGCTTCGTTCTCTGAAACAAAGCTTATTTTTTAAATATTTCCTAACTAGCGAGATGCTGCACTTGATCGACAATTCTGAATTGCCTTTGTTGGTTATCGTTATGTGAAAACTCGGTTAACATAGGGGAACAAGCGTCTATAGGTTGCTGATTATCGAACCCTTTGTGTGTGAATTTTATAACTTTGCGGGTTTCATCTATTTCATGAAACCTTTGCTAAAGTTCAGATGCGCGTCTACGCTAATTCTTTCCGAATTACTTAGAGACTATAAGGATCCTTTTCCAGCTTAACGACTATCTCAAGGTCAATGGAATCACTTACAACAAAGACCTGGTCCGAGAGCAAGTAAAAAACGAAGGAGGCAACTTTGCTGTACGTTACACAGTTTTGGGTGGTGATTGCGCTAGGGTAAGCATTCTGATAAGAATACGCATTGACTCTGCGAAGAATCCCATTTTTAGATTAAGTACCTGGTCGCCAATGGCGAACGTCATGCTGAATTCATCGAGAATGTGATTGTCAAGTGTTGAGGTGGCCATGGAACTGAACGCATAATTGCCAAATATTTTATTGAATAAAGCATTATTGAAAATATGTTATACAACACAATAACATTTTTCTGTACATTCCTCAAGGTACGAACATGATTCAAACAGATTTGAGCGCAGAAATGTAGCAAACCAGAGCAGATTTATTCAACTCTTCTATACAAAATTTTTGATGTCACGCGCTAAATGCTTCAGTCATCAGCATACGGTAGGAATGGATGTATACATGGCCTTTCTCCCATACTCTTCGATTCCATTGGCTTGGCGACCTGAAGGCGGGTTTTCGTGACCTAATTAAAACTAGGTGATGATCAGAGAGCACGCACGCAGGAGAGACGCAGGTTGCGTAGCGGGCGTGAGCGGCCTCGATCACAAAGCCCGCCTTCCCGCCGCCGAGCCAGTTGAATCAAAGGTTACCTACAATAAATATCTCAAGATGGTGACAGCACGATATGCAGACCAGCTATCCGGCATAGTTTTTTTCATAGCGGCAAAATCACATACCTTCGAGGAAGACCTCAAAATCCGCTAATTTGTGAGATTTGTTACATTTTACGGTTACAATTGTGTTTTTGTCAACAAAAATGAGTTACAAACGAACACAGCCTAAACAGAACACTCCGAAATCACCTCGTAATTCTCCTCCCCGCTATCTTCCCTCCCCCCCCCCTCCATCCATCCCTTCTCCTCTCCTGCGCAGTCTCTGTCGATTATGGTTACGGTAAATGTAAGCAGCATACATATGATGTGTTCACCAAATCTTCGCAATGAATGATCGATGTAGATCTTTTCAAGAGATTCCGTGTATTGAATGCTGATCGCCAACTGAAAAATTTCTTCTTAATCTTGAAGCAAACTTTTTCCATTTTCAAAACCAACAAATGAAAATACTGACGTGTTGGAAAAGTGCATTAGCAAAACGAAAATCTTTTTTTCTTCTAGCTTCAGACAACTTTGAGCATAGTTAAATATAAAAAGACGATGACAAAGCTTTTCTGCCCAGAAAGCGCCTTTATATATTCGTATAAGCACTATTAATTTTGACAGGTTTTGAACTTTGATTTCGCCCTAAAAATGCAAATTGAATTTTGGAAAGCTATCACAACCAGCTCAAAAGGCTCGAGTTTACAAAACTTCTAATCAAAGGAAAACTTGCATTCAAGGAACGCTTGTAGATAGGTCTATAATCATAATTGTCTTGGCTCTCAGCCCTATAAAAGAGGGTTCTCATAAGCTTCGTCACTGTTATGGCCTTGCCTTTGATCATTATTGCTATCACTGTCATTGTGCAGGTGAATGGGTTTGATTGAAATAAGAGCTTTTTCGTTTCTTTCCTGAAAGTTCTTAACTACTCCCCTCGAAAAATTTGCTAGGAGCTAATTCTCAAATAGAAATGTGCTTTGCAAAAGCCCCTTTAAGGCTCTTTCATCAAACATTGTGAAAAAAATGAAAACGGTCACTCTAGCATATTCTTCACTTGGGTCGTCAAAAATCTAAAATGCTGTTATAAGGTTCAGAAATGTCACATACAGACTTTATGACCTACTCTTTACAATCAAAAGCTTGTACTGGATGTATTTTGATTTGGGCGTGCATTTTTGAGTTTTTAAAGAAAATGGCGGAATCGATTACTTTGTCATTTTTTGAAATTTTTTTTCAGATGGAAAGATTAGCAAATCAGTGCTTTTTATCAATTCCGATTTGATTTTTTCGGCTCTACTTTTTTATAAACCTAGTCAAATGATCAAATCCTAAGTAATTTTTTTCTTACATCCTTTATCTCATGGCGTGGCAATTGTAGGGAAAGGGGAAAGGGAGGAAAAAAAGTCACGACTTCCAAGAAAATTGTGGGTATTTTTTCCAGAATCCTCGCGAGCCTAACCTCGAGTCCAAATGCAAATTTACGAATTTCCAAGCAAAAAAATGCAAAACTTTCCTTTTATACACTGCCCCTGTTCTTCAAATTAAACATTTTTCCATTAAGGCATGTCCTCCCAGGTACCCCTACCCTCCTATGCAACCAATTCCTGATCCCTACGGGGGCGGGGGATACTACCCAGGAGGATATACAAGATATTCTACTGTGCATCCACCAGGAGTTCTTCCCACCGTTCGTCCAGTTCGAAATCGCAAAGCGGAACGTATTCTGGTGACTGTAATTAGCAACTTGGACTACGATCCAAAATTGAATAATGCTCGTCTACATGCAAGCAAAACATGGGTAATTTCTTTCACTAATAAATTGGCAGCTTTTCTGAAAAGAAAAAACTGTTCCAGCTCGAAAATACTCTCCATTCCATGGGCGTAATGAATAAGACGGAATCCATTCCTGCTCAAGTGGCCACTATCAGCGGCAAATTCTCCATTCTTTACACCATGGATAAATTTGATTGCAAAGAGGTGGATGCAAACGTTTTCTGGACTCATTTGCTTACAGAGAATTTCTTTCACATATTCTCCAAAATTAAAACTGGTTTTACAGGTCCTGGAATTTGCCCGCGCTATGAAAAACATGAAAGTTATTGCCAGCATCAGAGTCAAGTGTCCTAAATATTTGAAAAATATAGATTTTGATTAATAAAGTTTAAAAAGTGTGTTGGATCAACCATTACTCCATTTGTATGGAATGCAACAGTCCACTCAGACAGTCGAAGTGATAACTCCGGCGAGCAAATGGCGCAGTCTACCACTTTGCGCTCTGGAGCGCTCCGGAGCCCTGCCATTTCACGCATTTTGCTGCTCCGGGGCTCTTCCAAAACTGGCGCACCTCCGGAGCAGAGATTTGCGCGTCCCGGAGAGGGGTCCCATTCGCCTGCTTGTGACGTCACCGTGACGTCACGGTGAACTTTGTCGCATGACCTGAATCTTGCACCTTATGATCCAAGGCAGAAAATCGTCGTGGTAGCAGACCCCAGCGACTATGATTGGATGTGTGATATCGCACAGATATCCTGATGGATCCGAAAACCCAATTGTGCGTGCAATGCGGTCTCTTACAAAAGCAGAGAAGAATTATTCGCAAATCGAAAAGGAAGCATTGGGAATTGTCTTCGCTGTCAAGAAATTTCACAAGTACATATTTGGACGAAAATTTCCACTTTCGACGGACCATCAACCATTGACAGCCATCTCCGGTGAGAAAAAGGGAGTTCCAGTCTACTCCGCTAACCGACTAACTCATGAGATGAGCTACAATTTTGCTAGGATATGATTTTGACATGGAGTATGTCAAGACTACGAAATTCGGACAAGCCGATAGTCTGTCACGATTGATGAAAAGGATTTAGAATTCCGAAGAAGACGTCGTAATAGCTGCCATTGAGAACGACGTAACTATATGTTGAAGATTTGTGTTAGGAAACTACCAGTGACAGTATCAGATGTGCAATAATACACGAAGAAGGACTCAGTGCTACAAAGAGTGAACCTAAGTGAAGAAAGGGCAGTGACCAGACATAAATGGAGAATTGGAACATTTTTGAAATCGAGGAGGGACACTGTCAATCGTAGAACAAGCCTGATGTCAGCCGAAAGAGTCGTGATAACCAAGAAGCTTCGAGCAAGTGCTCTGAAAAACTGCATATTGGACAACCAGGGATAGTAAGGATGAAGAAGTTAGCTCAAGGTTACGTTTACTGGCCGAATATAGACAAGGATTGCAAAAAGTTGGTACGAAGATGTACGAAATGTCAGGAATTAGCCAAGAATCCGACGAAACTACCATTGGAAGCCTGGCCATCCGCGACTCGAGTGTGGCAGAGGATATACAGTGACCGCCAAGAGGTTGCGGACAAGCCGTCTTCTTTTTTAGTCGCTAATTTTCGGATGGAAAACGAAAATGAAAAAAAGATTAGATTGCATTCGGTGATAGAGCTCACCAAGAGCTACAACCCACACATTGCACTTTCTGGAAAACATGTATTATAAAAGTTTTAGAAATCTTCTTCTAGAAAAAGTCCGAAAATGGCCGCGTCCTAATGTCGCGGACAATAATTCTTCGAACGCGAAAAGTTTCCGTTAGGTCTTTTCTTAGAGCAAAAACAGAAGTTATCCGGACAGGTAAGCATACTATATTGTATACTTGAGTCCGAATCGAATAGAAATTCGATCATTCGAATAAAACATTCGGATATATTCGTATTCGAAATTCGATATTCGGATTTCTTCCATTTTCGAATAAAATTCGAAACTCGAATAATTGAGAAAACGGAGTTTTGAATAAAATTCGAAACTCGAATAATCGAAAAACAGGGTTTCGAATAAAATTCGAAAACTCGAATAATCAAAAAACGAGGTTTCGAATATTATTCGAAAACTCGAATAATCAAAAAACGGGGTTTCGAATGAATTTTATTCGAATGTTTTATTCGAATATTTATTCGAATTCGTATTCGAATGTACTCCGTATTCAGATTATTCGACTTTGTTGCAGAGCCAACTGCTAACAACTGCTGCTTGTAAGTATCAAGCTCACTTCGTCCGCGTTTTTTTTTCGCAAAACTAATGCATCTTTTGCAACCGGTATACGTTTGAACTGTATGGAGAGTCGCATTCTTCCGACTGCTTGCAACAGTAAAAAAAATCATATGTGGATTTTAATTGATGTTTTTTCGATCAATAAGATTGTTCGCACTGCTATTGGTACCAAATCAGCAAAGAAGATATCAAATTCAAGCTCATGTTCTGAGTTCATACTGAATTGAAATGGCTGTTCTTCTTTCTTTGCACTGCTCATGCTTGCGGTACGCAAAGCCCACACTAGTGAGCACTCTTGCTCGCATAAATTATTGCAAAACTGCCTATTCGTTACCTTGGAGTTTTTGCGAATTGGTGTATATTGAGTAAAGGACATCGCAGTTGTAGTGCAGGATTAGACAGTTTAGATCGCCGTACGCGATTTGCCAGTTACGAGATGTCTTCAGATGTAATAGCAGCTTACCACAAATGTTTAGCGTGTACAACATACTAAAAAGATAAATGCCCTGCATTCTGTTACTTTCAGAATAAATTTTGGACAATTTGAGTATTGCCATACCACGTCGCCACTGAAATGCCTGCAGTATGCCCGGGGTTATAGGGGCATTCGTGCTCGCTTCGCGGAGGAAACCACATGCCTTCGTCCACGACTAGCTTATACCACACAAGACGAAAGTCTCCGATGAACAGGCATTTGTTGAATTTAAGTTAGGTTGCTGCATAAGTTCTGTCCAATTTTTTTGCCTTATGTTTGGAAGAGCTGTTCTAAGAGAATTTCATCTCTAATGCGGTATTCTTAGTATTACTGGAAAGTGCTTTTCTTGCTCTTTCTAATGCATATCAAATTTCAATAAATTTCTTAGCGTAACGACATTTAAAGCCTAAAATCTCCAAGTGGTCGAGGTACGTTCTCACTCTAGAAATATGTTCTTGCAAGGAAATCTCCACAATGCGCCCTTATAGTCAAGTTCTTTCATTGGTTGCGGAATGAGGGTGTAGAAGACTAGTATATGCAGAAGCTCAGTTCCATGAAGAAAACGTCTTGCTAATAAAATTTGTTGTCGAACATTAATTTTTTGTATTGATGTTTTACAAGCAATAACTTTCTGCGAATAGAAGTTCGATGAGTTCAAAGTTGAAGGTGCTAGGGTAAAGCAAGAGCTATCAAGACTCATCCACCAATTCCTTTTCGTCGCTCACGTCAGTTGTACAATTTTCATAATGCGTAAATAGGCATGCACACATGCGTTGAAGCGAGGTCAAAAAGTGGCTAATTTTTTGTTCGGTCAAAAAAATCTCTCGGCAACAAAGACCCTATGGGTTCTTTTGTAGTGCAAATAAATCTACGAAAAATTCTCTATCTATCCATTGTTGGAAAAGATGTCTATCGATTCTCATAAGGGAGCATTGCCATGTCAAAAAAGACAGGTTTGAAGAAAAACGCTGTGAAGTTTTTGAGTTCTTGCTTCTTTCTTAACAAAGATTTTTGCAAATCTCAATACGTATCTGATAGCCAAGGAACTACTCATCATAAAGAAACTAAGATCTTGGAAAAAAGTTGACTTTGAAAGAAGTTATGATATTTTGAACCCAAAAAATTCAAATCGGACAAAACTTATGCAGCAACCTAATACATATGTGGCCACCTTATTACCTGATTTTATCGATTTTTGGAAAATCTTGAGCTACGAGGTTGGGAGTGGGTACAAAGGGGTAAATGAGGGTGCTGATTAAAACCGAAATCTATTCTATTGATTTCAGCAGTTTTTGGAAAATTTTGAGCTAGGAGTTGGTATAGGGGATACTGGGGGGCTGATTATGATTGGATCGGCTTTAGACAGAGATGTCAGCAAGTTTGAAATGTGATTGCTTTAGTTATTCGATGAATCATTCGAATATTTATTCGAAATTCGACTTCCAATGTTCGAATATATTCGATCTTCATTCATTCGACATTTTTGATTTTCCGAATTTATTCGAAATTCATTCATTCGATATTTTTGATTTTCCGAATTTATTCGAAATTCATTCATTCGATATTTTTGATTTTCCGAATTTATTCGATATTCATTCATTCGATGAAAAATTATCGAATTACCCAAGTATACTATGTTGTAGAGCTCATCGAGGGCAACAATCGGGTAGTGGTTCCTTTCAAAAAATCAGGCTTGAATTTTTTTTGCTTTTTTTCAAAAAATAATTTTTAATTCCCTACTTCAAGCCAAATTTCTTCACATGGAAATCTACTCAAGGCATTCCAACAAGGCTGTTCGGATAAAATGGATGCTCTTTGCCATCCTCTATGCATCGGACGTGTGCTGGTGAGTTTTTCGCTGAAAATGGCACTTAACAGTGCATGCACATGACTCAACCCATACCTCACCGCTGACTTTCACCGCTTTGCAGGCTTGTATCTCAGCCGGCAGTCACTCCACGAGCCTGAAGGTAGCTCATTCAAAAGATCGTGACTTCCTGGACAAGAAGGTATGCAAAAGTGTTGGGTATGAGAAACAGCAGAGATTTGGCGGATGGGTGACAAAGCGCAGCCTTAGAGGTGAATGGAGTGAAGGCTTTTATCAACACTAGAACGGTTTCAGAGCTCCAAATAGGATTTTTTACAAGAAAACTGACGGTTTTGAACTTCCAGATTAACGTCCAGATAACTTCTGTTTTTGCTCCAAGATGCGTTTGAAGAATTATTGTCCGCGACATTGTGACGCTGCCATTTTCGGACTTTTTCAAAAGGTTTCTAAAATTTTTAGAATACAGATTTTTCAGAAAGTGCATGTGTAGGTTGTAGCTCTTGGTGAGCTCTATTACCATGTGCAGTCCAATCTTTTTTCGTCTTCGTTTTCCGTCCGAAAATGAGCGATGAAAAGAGGAAGGCGGCTTGTCCGCAACTTTTTGGCTTTCACTGTACATTGACTTCGCCGGACCTATGCGGAGGTCTTCTACTTGGTAGTAGTAGACGCGCACAGTAAATGGCATAAATGATCGAGATGAGCAACATCTCAGCTGCGAAAACAGTGAAAGCTTTGAAGAATTTGTTTGCGAGATATGGATTACCGCAAACAAGAGTGTGCGACAATGATACCCAGTTCA